TACCTCCTGGCACACACCTAATAATGCCTCTTCCTTAAGTCTCTACTCACATTTAGAGATATTGGCCACTGTTATAGGTACTACTTGATGACCTGTCACAAGTGACCTTCCAATCTTCATGTACACTGGCCTGGATGGGTCTTCCATTGTTTCCACAAGCATCAGTCTTTCTTGGGGATGTTCTTTTATTCTACCCCAAAATATCTCCTCTGACATAGGGGGTGTTGTCGTTGACTTAAGTGCTGTAACATGCAAATCAACAGATGCAGCAACACTTATTCTAATTTGGCCTTTGTTATTCCAATTGTCATTTTATTGAAGTTAACTACACACTTCTTCAGTATTAAATAGTCCAACCCTAAAATGCATTGGTCTTCAATGTCAGCCAAGTATACTTTGTGTCTGTTCGTCATTCCCCTGAGCTCAATAGTTACCCACAATGGTCCCCACAACCTTGAATAATGTCCTGTCACACCACAGAGCTTCTGTACAGCTTCTGGTACTCATTTGTGATCCAGAACTTTGATACTCACAAGGGTTTGCTGAGATGCAGAATCTATGACAAAGTTGCACCTTTGGCCATCCAGCTTCCCTGTCATGTAGACACTACGTGTGCTTGCCATTTTACACTTAGCTGTTGGGACTCTCACGATGGGGGTTTGGGGGCGTCCCTCAGCCCCAACCACTACTGGTTTCCCGAAGCTGACTTGTTGGTAGTATTCTTCTTACACTGGCTCCTCATATGTCCTTGCTCTCCATAGTTCCAACAACCTTTCTGCGTAGCAGCCTTTCCTGCTGTGGCATCTTCCCTGTGTTTAAGTTGCTAGCATTGAGCTCTCTTGTGCCCAGTTTTGTTACAGTGCCAGCAAAGTACCTCAAACGTCTCTGAAAGCTGCCCTTTTCAAGCCCTAAATCCTGATGACTGTACCAACCTTGATATATCTGTGCTGGACATAACATGGGATTTAAATTCAAGAGCTCTGGCCATTGCATCGTACAAAGTAGAGGCGTGTGCTTGCTTTACTTGCATCTTCAGTTGTGGACTGTCCAAGGCATCTACAAACTGATCCCTCAGCAACAACTTGAGGAGATCGGGTGGCACAGTTGGGTAGGCCTTGTGTGCCATACTTTCCAAATCCTGTGCCAGCTCTTGCAGGCTCTCCTCTTTAGCACGGACTCTCATCCTAAACCTAGCCCTGTAGACTTCGGATTGATTTTGGGTTCCATTCCTGAGTTTTAAAGCCGCTACCATTGCTTTATAGTTGTGCCTGTCGTCTGCTGACAGCTGTCCAAGTATTTCCAGTGGTTGTCCCTTCAGGCTTGTTGCCAGGTA